TGTAGTAATGGAAAATAACGAGTCATCCTTTTAAAATTTCAATACGCCGATAATTTTCTTCAAAGTCAACGCCCTTCCAAGAGAAAAGGATTGCTTATAGGTGGGAAAAAAAGGACAATGCATTATAATTTAAAAAGTAAATAAAATGTATTACTAAACTGCCACTCTAAAACTTAATCTCATCATCCATATACAAATATATATTTATAGCCTAATTTTTTGTTGGAAGTCAGTGGCCTGTGATAAGAACTGACTTTTTTTAGAGAAACAAGCGACTCGTAAACAATGACGCTTTTGGACGGCGACAAAACTTTCTCGGCCCAATCCAAAGGTCTGGTCTCCAAGTTTTGTGGTTAACCGTAATCGATTGCTACTTTATTCACAAACAGCTGATTGCAGACAAGTCAAATAGTATTACTGTGCTCTTATCTTTATAGCGTATAATTTTCATTTCTATGTAATAAAGGTTCAATAACATTTCGTTAGATTAGGATGCAGGTCAGGGTGAACAAACCCTGATAGACTGATAAACACATAAACATTCGATCGAATAAGGGGAAAGGGATCCACACTACTTACCTATCCTATCGGCGGCGTTATTTTTGAACTCTTTTTGATAAAAGAGTACTCCCTCTCTCTCTCACACACACACAAACACTCCGCATCGTGAAAAAAGGCCTTTCTTAAGAATGGACTGGCTCTGGTTTCCACTATAAAATAAGCCATGTTTATCTTAGAAAAGTTCTTTGTCCGTTTCTACCCGGGAAAAGTGGAGGTACAATTTTAACATAGGTGTAGTAAGGCATAGTAAATGTTCCAAGACGGGATTATTATCTGAAAATACTGTGGGAGACCAATAGATTAATATTTTACTGCTACTAACACTGAGTTTTGTAATCCTATATTCATGTTTTCATAGAAACTGATTCCAACTGTTGTGTGGAAAAAAAGCCCGTGTGGGAGGTATCGTTTTCATTTATGCTCGTTATGTATCTATTATGGACTATTTTCTTCATCCATAGTTTTTACCACCCTCACGTTAGTAAGGGAGGTATTGCATTGGGGTAAAAATGACCCCCAAATTGTTTAACGGAGATACACGTTTGGAAGCACCAGGAATCCGAATTTAAAAAAATCTCGATTATGTCGGTCGGTCTGTCTGATTGTACTACGGCTAAACGACTGAACCGATCGGAACCAAATTGGCTAAACACATTCTTAGACATAAAAGGGCAAAGAGTGTTATCTGTGCTAGCAACAGCAAATTGTTTCTATTCGGGAGGCTAAATAATTTAGAGGTTGTATATAATTCGAAATTTTACTCCCAAACGCTGACTGTTGATTTCCATTATGCAAATTACTCACGAAATTGTTGCATTTATAAATTGCATCATCCGAAGTTCCGGTTAAATCGAGATGTTGCAGAAAATGGGCGTTAAGTAGGTATATACATTTTTAGAGGAATATTTTCCACCATAACAATTTCAACTTATACACTGCCTTTTTTTGAGCCCCGAAAAAAAAATTGTCTCAGATCGACCCGGAAAAAATTTTCTTATAGAATGTGACCTGTAGAATCCATAATCTCAAACAGTTCTAAGATTGGGCTACTAGTTCAAAAGTTACAGCCCTTTGAATTTTCTATCGAAATTGGTTTCTACTATAGTCTATAACTTTTGATTGAGAAGTCTGATCGAAAAAGTACGAATTGATTTGGATTCTACGCACCCAAATTAATAAGAAAAAGTGTTTCCCCGAAATATTTTGGTGTAGTCGATTTTTGGTAAAAAAGGAAGATTATACACTGCCTTTTTTTGAGCCCCGAAAAAAAAGTGTCTCAGATCGACCCGGAAAAAAAATGTTCTTATAGAATGTGACTTGTAGAATCCTAAATTTCAAACAGTTCCAAGATTGGGCTACTAGTTCAAAAGTTACAGCCCTTTGAATTTTTTTCGAATTTGGTTTCTAGTCTATAACTTTTCATTGAGAAGTCTGATCGAAAAAGTACGAATTGATTTGGATTATACGCACCCAAATTAATAAGAAAAAGTGTTTTCCCGAGAAATTTTGGTGTAGTCGATTTTTGGTAAAAAAGGAAGGTAATACACTGCCTTTTTTTGAGCCCCGAAAAAAAAATTGTCTCAGATCGACCCGGAAAAAAATTTTCTTATAGAATGTGGCCTGTAGAATCCATAATTTCAAAAAGTTCCAAGATTGGGCTACTAGTTCAAAAGTTACAGCCCTTTGAATTTTCTTTCGAAATTGGTTTCTAGTCTATAACTTTTGATTGAGAAGTCTGATCGAAAAAGTATGAATTGTTTTGGATTCTACGCGCCAAAATTAATAAGAAAAAGTGTTTTCCCGAGAAATTTTGGTGCAGTCGATTTTTGGTAAAAAAGGAAGGTTATATACTGCCTTTTTTTGAGCCCCGAAAAAAAAATTGTCTCAGATCGACCCGGAAAAAAAATTTTCTTATAGAATGTGGCCTGTAGAATCCATAATTTCAAACAGTTTCAAGATTGGGCTACTAGTTCAAAAGTTACAGCCCTTTGAATTTTTTTTCGAAATTGGTTTCTAGTCTATAACTTTTGATTGAAAAGTCTGATCGAAAAAGTACGAATTGATTTGGATTCTACGCACCCAAATTAATAAGAAAAAGTGTTTTCCCGAGAAATTTTGGTGTAGTCGATTTTTGGTAAATAAGGAAGGTTATACATTGCCTTTTTTTGAGGCCCGCAAAAAAAATTGTCTCAGATCGACCCGGAAAAAAATTTTCTTATAGAATGTGGCCTGTAGAATCCATAATTTAAAACAGTTCCAAGATTGGGCTACTAGTTCAAAAGTTACAGCCCTTTGAATTTTCTTTCGAGATTGGTTTCTAGTCTATAACTTTTGATTGAGAAGTCTGATCGAAAAAGTACGAATTGCTTTGGATTCTACGCACCCAAATTAATAAGAAAAAGTGTTTTCCCGAGAAATTTTGGTGTAGTTGATTTTTGGTAAAAAAGAAAGGTTATACTTTCAATCGGTTCCAATTTCAACGCCGAAGTAATAGATAGTTCGCGCTGTTACAAATTGTGTGTATGTGAGTGATAACTAATATTTTAACATTTATTGTTAATTGTAAATAAATAACTTAAGTAATAAAATTTAGGTTATAATACGAATCTTGCTGCGTCTTTAATTATTATGGTTGTGTTTTATCCTTAATAAGCAATGGATCTATAAATCCGGTGGTTAGTTTTCAATGAAAGCCCCTAGAGATAATGCAATTTCATCTGCAGGGCTCTACAGGTTGCCTATTGTGCAAATTGGCATGATTCTCCGCACGATACGTTCAATCAACCCAATCAGTGTTGTCTATAGAGAAAAATAGTGAGTGTTCACAAATGATATGACTCCATATTTATAAAGTCGGTAGGCAGTTGAAAAAAAGGTGTTGAACTAAAAAATGGTTAAGGGCAAGAAAAATGTTATGACGAGAGAATTAGTAGATGATGACTCTTTTTAAGAATAGGAGGCGACTAGTCGATGCTTATAAAAAACAGAATATATTAATGAGGGATGCCTACAGTGCGAGCGCTCAGCATATTCCATGCACTTGTTCCATATCATTTTCTTGAAGGCTGGAATGGGTACACTGAATGCTCTGACCTCTAGAGCTATTGTAGGACTGTGTCATAAGAATTTATGGTTGCGGTGGTGTGTGACGTGAAAGTGATGCTGAATACTGGGAGTATGGGAAACAAATGAAGAAGGCTTTTAATATGGGAACAATGATGTGTGGCGTCGCGGTCGGGAGAGATTGAATATAATGAGGGGATTGCGTGTTTCTAGATGGCCCCTGGATGAAAATGTAATGAGGTGTTTTAAATAAATCCAACATTCGTCACTCAATTTCTCCAGTTTCGCATAGAAAATTGTATTAGAAATAGGTTTTTGGGCTATTACTTGATGCTTCTTACGCACATCTTTCAATTGAATCTCAATGGATTTAGGTACCGATTATCTCCCACTCACCTTCTTTAGCATTCATTAATTTTCTTACAGTTTCATAGAACTCTTCCCGGGTGTAATAACGAGGCTTAGATCCTTGACTGAACGTAGAGCAGGCGACTGTGGAGTGGAAGATATGGGTCTGACGGAGTGGGTGGCGATGATACTTTATTCGCGCCCTAACTCAAGTACGGAGACTTTCCGGTCGTTTAAATTAAAACTATAAATTAAATGTTCCTTTATCTATCTTTGCCATATCCATACTTTCCATGCCTCGACAAGGTTCATTCTTTTTTGGCAGAAATTGAAATTCCCATTTTTAAAGCACCAGAAATCCGAATCAAACAAAATCTCTAGTTGTCGGACTGCCTGTCTTTCTGTACTCTCGTTTCTGGCTAAACGGAACCAAATTTGGTACAAATATTCTTTAGACATAAAAAGGAGAGGAATACTATTGGACAGAATTGCGCATGCGCAGGTGTGGGGGTAGCAAATTGTTTAATTAAACAAGGATAGGTATAGCGTCTTCCTCGAAACGCTTATATAGTTCAAGAATGACTTCAAATCTCTGTAATCTTTTCTATCGATTTCAGTAACTGGGGTTGTTCTGGGCCCAAAGGAACGGCACATCTTTGTAGAGTTTCCTGTTGATTGTAGACAACCTCCAGGTTCCTTCAAGTTACCTAATGGTGAAAATGTGATAGATAATGCTAAAATAAGGGTGAACTCGTCATAAAATGTTAAGCATTATAAAAAAATTAGGTCTAATTAACATAGTTAACCTCTTTCGCCCTCGGGGAGGAGCACGTCCCCCCACACACCGTTCGCACGGTAGCCAAAGATGCCAGCGTTTAATTTTGTTTTAATTGGTTTCTACCGGATTTTTGTTTGTTTCCACACAGGAGAGGTCATATTTGGTAAGTGCACGAGAGTTGTGTTATGATTACGATTAGGGGGTTGTAAACATATCCGACGAACAGAAAAGCAAGTGCGGGAGTCGCGACAAGTGCTCGTATCGCGCGCGCGAGTGCTTAAACCTCCAATTTTCAGTTTAGCTTCAGTTTCTGTCGGACTGCCGTCGTAGTAGCATTTACCTACGTAGATTAATGCCGCTTTTTTGCACACGTGTTTGACCGATTCTTTTAACGCAAAGCTCGCTCTCAAATTTTCTTGTTGCGCTCGTCGCTTTGCGAGGGAAAATGTACGGTCGCATCAACCAGTTTTGTTATACGAATGTAGTATGAGCTTTCGATAGGTTCTGTGAGAAAAAAAGGGATTTTTTAAAAGCTGTGTGTTTTGTGGGCGACCGCTGCTGCCTTTGCCATGATTATTTCAAAAGATCTGTTCTTGCTGGGAGACCAAGACTACTTGCGACTCCCCAACAAGGACGAGAAGAGGCCAGCGATGATAAGACCAGTTGTTAAGTCACCAAGGTAGGTTCTTTGCCGATGTTTAAATAGATATGAACCACTTTGGTTTTTTACATTCAATTGTGCTCTTCGTATTTGGGAAGCGAAACCGTACAATCGTGTAAAACCCAACCGTAGAACTAAGAGGCCAGTTTCGTGAAGCCGTTGATGACCGGATGCGGTGTAACTACAGACCGGAAATAAAGCATAATTTATTTAACGCTAGATTAACACCCATCTGATTTGAGTTCCTTTAAACTTCACTCGCGAAAAACTATTGTGCTCTCATCAAAAGCGAAAGTTATTATATAACGAAGAAAAAGGCACAGCGTGTAAATGGAAAAAAATGACAAATTTGACATTCCAGTTCGACCGGTCGTAATGGAATTAGTTTAATTAAAGAAGAGCATTTCTCTTCCTTTGGCAAACGTTCAAAACCTTCCCATAAACTCGTATACTTATACCATAAATTGTGACCTTTCCCAATTGGTTCTACTTGTGTGCCCCAAACCCACACGTTCTCTTTAATATATTTGTGCATAGTTTAGATAGTGGCCTTATCTGGGTTAACACAAATTTTAAGCCGGGCTAAGTTATCGTTCGTGATCTTAGGTTAGTACACAAATTACTGAATTAACCCGATTTTTTTAAATACACCGTCTACATGGGAAATAAAAAAATTGTATTCAATCAATCAATTAAAAACACATTTGGCTCCCAAGATTCGTGCTAACCTCCTTTTACGTTACGTAAAGTAGGTATGATGCACCTATAGGTAGGTAGGTACATTACTTGTTATTTTTCTTTTTGGCTACTGTACTCCCTGCACCTACCTATGCATAGTGCCGACACATTCCTCCTTGAACTTAGGTGTTAATTATTGTTTTTCCACCCATGTTAGTATAGATGTAAAACTGTTTCTTTCAATTTGCTTTGGGACTGACCGCAAAAATTCACTATTTTATTGAATAGTATAAAGACATTGTTTAAATGCTTGAATTGAAACGGTCAATGCGAGAGTAAAGGATAGAAATTATCAAAGTGTTTCGAACAACTCCCAGTAAAGAACGAACAGGACGCCGGAAATCGAATGTAATGTAGGTACCTATCTCGATTAGTAGCTAACACAGTTTCGTAAATCAAAAAATGAGGGAGATACATTTGTTTAAACAACAAATTACTTGAGAAAATGGCTATTGTAGTAGTTATAATGAATTACTAAAAAGTCCGATACACCTGAATACCGAACTAACAAATCAGCTGGTTTAAATTCGCCTTTAAGAAAGCACAGCTTTAATAACAGCCAATGGGGAATTTTGTACAAGTAAAGATTTATATATTATATACTTCTTATGTGAAATAAAACAGTTTTCATTGGTTCATTTTTAAAAGGGAAATAAATTCCTTAGCTATTCATATAAAATGAAGCGATAACTGCACAAAATTTATCTTTTGCTTCAATAGAATATCTCTTTACCTTTAAGAGTGGGACAGATGGGTGGTTCCAAGCTATGTATTTATATTTTATTCATAAATTTAAGTTTACTCCTGCACTACCGATGGTACCTATAATTACAGGGTGTCCAACGAGTAAGTAACATCGGAAACCATTCGATAAGCCCGTTTCATCAAAATATTTTCGATTTTATGGGAAATTTATCCGTACCGGATTATTTGAAATGGAATAATTTATTTTTATATCTGAACTATATACTTAAATGTGAACAAAATTTAACTATAAATAAGTCACGATACGTTCAAACGGGAGTGTTTTTGAATACAATGGTAAAAAGTTGCTATGGATTTATTTATTGCTTAACATCACTTAGGTATACATAGGTATAGATAGGTACTTAAATTAATTATTTGCTACATTTGTACCTATTATGCATCTAAGACTATATACCTACGCCTCAAAATTAAAAAATTGTTGCGCCAGAGCTGCTAGGATTGAGTACCTAAATTAACCTTTTTCGGATCTATGGTCGAAATTAAATGTTTCCTCACAACCGTTCGGGTACACTCTTCAGGTACTTCAAGTTCTTAAAAATCCTCGGATTATTTTCAATTTTCAGATTGTTCAAATTCCTCACAATCTTAACAATCTTCAGAAGATTCGAAATTTTCAGGATCTGGAGGGCGTATTGAATCTCTATTATTCAGAACCAGGAGGAATCTTATGAATGGACACTTAGGACCGGTTTTACAATTACACCTATTCGCAGAATAAGATATTCTTGGAATAATTGCCATAGTAACAAGTATCCCATTGGTTGACGCAATGGTAACCAACACAACCGTCGAGGTTTATTCGAGGTATAGCTTATTCTCAGTATATACCTGCATTGTAGAATTGGCCCTTATAGTAGGATTTTCCCGAGGATTTTCCTAAGTTTGCACGCACGTCATCGGTGTATTACATCTGAATTTGGTATCTTTGCATTAGATAAAACCCAGGATAAAACAGAATAAGTGTATAAGTATAGGATACCACACAAACAGTGCTGCATGGTGCACCTATTACAACAACGATCCTCTACAGTACCTACCTATATACCAACTGCAATGCAGTGCTGTTCGTTGTTTTCCCACTTATTTTGTTCTATCGCTTTCAGATACTATGTAAACATATACCGAGACATATACTTACTTAATTTAGATGTAATACACCGATGACGTGCATGCAAACTTAGAAAAATCCTACTATACTTAGTTAGCCCCAAAAGAAAGTTTGGAGGACACTATTTTTTCTATACACACGTTTTTATTTAATGTAATAATACCGCCGCTGTAAAATAAATGTAACTTATTACAGAGTTATATGGTCTAAGTATATGTATCGCATACATTCATTTTAACGTTAATTATTACCTACCTCGGTTATTACCTAGAGTTTTGTGACGGTACGCGATATCTCACAACTGGACCACTCGCCACTCACTGACTCGCCACTGTGACAACTCTCTAACGCGATATCTCGCCAATGGACAACTCGCCACTGCGATAACTCCGCCAACGGATGACTCGCCAAATTGATTGCTAAAATTTGTAACCCAGCTTCATAGATCTTTCTTGCGGAAAAAAATATTTCGTTGGGGAGTTGTCGCAGTGACGAATTGTCACTTTGGCGAGATGGTGAGTTGTCAGTCAGTGGCGAGTCGCCCTTGGTGAGTTCGCCGTGTCCCTGATAAAGAGGTAATGTTTTCATACGTGAAATTACTAATAAATATAGGTATAGATCTGTTTCAATTTTTTTTCCAATATTAGGTACTATACTCTGTATATCTTGCAGCGCAAGGCAATAGAAACTAAGATTTTTTGCGGGAACTTTTAAATCCGTCTTCCTAGTTAAAAAACAGAGTATAGGTACACAATATCGGGAAATATGAATTTTAGATACGAGTATGAGTACTTCATTTACGCATCACATAGGTATACCTGTACAGGGTGAGCGGAATTGCATGAGAATCCCTAAAACAACCGTGGTCGGATTGGACACGCGAGGCGAGACTCGGGATACTTAAAATTCGTTAATGACCAATAGTCTGGAAAATTAGGGAAAAAAGTTCGCACTTTTAATTAAAGCTATGAAAATTCGCATAAGTATATATCGGGTGAGCCAAAATGACTGCGGACATTTTGAATTTCCCGCAAAACTAAACATTCATAACGCTGATAACGTACCAAATGTCATTTATTTAAAACTCGAGATAAAAGCAGTGGTGGATCAATCTATTGGATCACTGAACAATAATCACATTTAATTAATTAAAATAAATTAATTCACATATCAAGCGCAGTTGCACGGAGACTTTGTCACAGGCAGTGATCGCGTGAAACACCGGGAGGGCTGCCGATCTTGATGGACCTGTAAAAAGTTGCACCTGTTCCGATAAAAAAGCACAGCATCAAATCCTTCTCCTTAAGACTTACCGAGAGCGTGTATTGTCAGGGGTTGATCATCCTCCATTTGACTCCTAAGTAGCAGTTACCCATAATTTGCATGTTTGTGCATGGGAAAGGGCTAGATAGTCCGACCATATAAATCGTAAATGACGTAGCTGACCGTGGCAGCAAATCGGAACTTTAATAGGAATGATCAAAGAGCTTATGTGCCAATTTTCAAGGCTTTAGGTACTCAAAGGTGCGAACTTTATCTTAATTTACGACCTGTCTGTCTAGGGCTCATGGAAACTCTTGGAGAAGTTTTAAAAAAACCAACAGTTTTGAAGAATTTCAAAACTAAAACTGCACAGGAAGCTCTTAAAAATTATTTAAAATCTTGAAAGATCTTTTAAAGTTCTGAGCTCTTAAAGACTAACAAAGGCTTTATTAAAAACCCGAAACTACAAAGCTCTTTGGAAAATCTTTCATTATATCGGCCACTTTTAGAAAACCATGAAAGTTCTCATAGGTTAGAGCTCTAGAAACTCACACTACAAGCCTCGTAAAACATTTAGAAGGCCGTGGAGTATCTGGGAGGCTCTTGGAGATTTAAAGCTTTTAAACTCTCTTAAAATGTACAGCTCTTTGTAGGTCTAAAAGCTAGACCTTTAAAGACTCTTTGAGACGGAAAAACTTATAAAAACCCTTAGGGTAAGACTCTCAAATATTAAGAAATTCCTTTAGGACTTTGCGTTTAAAGGTTTTAAAATGTCTTTGATGGTTCTTGAAAGTTCACAAAATCTTTTAAAGGCGAACGACTTTGTTTATATACCTAACTTTTAAGGGCTCTTAAAAATGTTTAGAGACACGTCAAAACGGTTAAAGGCTGTTAAGACAAGTCTATTAATCGCTCTGTCTTTAATAGTCCATAGAGGATCTTGGTGAGTCTTAAACTTTTCAAGGGCCTAAGTGGTTGCCAAAGGTCTATATTAGTAGCGAATTGAAAACGTTTTCAGTCGTTAATCAGTGGCAAGAATTGCAGAGGATCCAAATAATTTAAGCTCTTGGTCTCGCCTCTGGTTATATTTATATGTGTTTGTAATCAGAACCTTCAAAAGCCTTTCGAACCTTCAGATCGC